TATTTTGTTAGAGCAATTGAAGGCAAAATAGAACACCAATTCAAAAGTGGGACAAGACTGGCTGCTTTTACAGAGGACCCAGGTTTGATTCCCAGAACCCACATGGTGGCTAACCATCATCTGTAACTCCAGTTCCAAGGGACCCAGTGCCTTGTTCTGACCTCCATGGGCATTGCACAACATGGGTGCACTTACATACATGCAGGCAATACACTAATACACATTAAATAAAAATAATGAAGTATTTTTTAAGTAGGGCAAAGAGCTGAAGAGGGAGTTCTCTAAAGATGAAGCACAAATGGCTGAGAAATATGGAAGTACAAATTAAAAATACTTTGAGATTTTATCTTAGCCCTCTTAGAATGAAAAAGATCTTTAAAAAAAAAACAATGGCGGATTCTGGCAAGGATGTAGAGAAGGGGGAACTCTTACCCACTACCAGTGGGAGTGCACACTGGTACAGCCACTATAGAAATCAGTATGGAGATTCCTCAAAAAGAGTGAAATTGATCTACCATATGACCCAGCCATACCACTCTTGACCATATACCCAGAAGACTCTATACCCTACTACAGAATACTGTCCATCCATGTTTGTTGTTACCTTTTTCATAAGAGCCAGAAATTGGAAACAACCTAGATGTCCATCAACTGATGAATGGGTAATGAAGGTATGGTACATATACACAGTGGAATGTTATTCAGCTCTTTAATAAAACGAAATTCACAGGTAAAAGGATAGAACTGGAAACATCTGAGTGAGGTAACCCAGACTCAGAAAAACAAACATCACATGTTCTCTCTCATAGCTGGATGCTAGCCTTGAAATCTTAGATATTCATGTTTCTATTTAAAAATTCAGAGAGGTCAAGAAACAATTAAGCAGCCATGGGTGCGTCAGGGGGAGGCTTTAGGGGGAGAGGTGGTAGAATGCAGAAATATGAAGAGAGAAAGGAGAACATTATATTAAAAAAGGTTAAATTGAGTGGGGAATGGGATGGCAGGACAGAGGAGGGAGTACGGGGAGAGATAAGTAACACTAAAGGTTTTTAGAAAAAGCCATGTGGAAACCTACCGCTATAGAAGTTTCTTAAAGTATGTACATATACATCTTAAAAAGAGATTAAAAGAATTTAGCAAGGGACATTGCCCTTTCTAGACATCATAGGCTAATGAAAAAAGAAAAAGGAAAAAAACCCTCAGTTCCAGGAATGGACTCCCTCTCTAGAAGCTGTTGACCAAGGGTTCCATAGATCCTCAAACAATACTGGCCATTGCGCCTGCTTTTGGTAACTCACCATAACTGGATAGCAAGACAGTATTGCTGAAGACACTACATACAGGAGCCAGAACAAACAGGAGAAATCAAGCTGGTGCTGACTGCAGTCTCATCTCCACGGGCTAGCATAGTGCTGAAATGTGCTGCGCATATTACAGGAAAGAGAAAAATAACCATTATCTTTACCCAGCTGTGAATCCCATGAACTACAATAACAACTGACCTGGCAAGATATACTCACTGGTACAATAGTGGCACGAATATTATGGAAGTAACCAGCTACTCCTTAATTAGATTTTAGGTCCATTTCCTAGGATGGAGCCCATACCCGACACTGATATCAGGCTTAGGAACCTGAGGCTAGACAGATCACAGGACATGGGGGAGAACCTTAATACTAGCTTTCTATTAAATAATTATATTAAACTGACTGTTGATGACTTACTGGTATATTTATATATATATCCATAGATTAATGCATCTCACAACTCTCACTAGAGAAATTTCTTTATGCAACAGATGGTGATTAACACAGAAGCCCACAACTGGCCAGTGTGTAAAGAACAAGAAGTTGCAAAGTGCTTGTCCCTGAATAGGACATCTATATCAGTCTTCTGCCTCCCAAGCCTCAGGGATCATTTCGGAAGGGGGGATGGAAATATTGTAAGAGTTAGAGGGGAGTAGATGACCATGAGGATACAGTTTTCCAGACAGCTGATCATTTATCCATATGAATTCACAGTCATAGTGACAGCATGCACAGGTTCCATGCAAGCTCAAACTAGACAAAAACCAGCATAGTACTGGGGAAATGGGTAAGAAGCCCCAACCTTAGCTTTGGAACTATTG